AATGTATCAAAAATGTATCACAATAGAAAGTGATGTAATATTAATTTCACGGCTACTAGCATGTACTGCTCTTTTCTCTTTTTTCTTTAAATAAACATCAGACTTGATATCAGTCCTTATTGAGCAATGATTTTTCTCTCTGACCGACTCGTGTTTGCGGCGTTCCAAACACGTTGCCAAGAGGGAAGAAGCAGAATAACCTGTGAAGCCAAACATATAATATCAACAGCCACAACATGGCTAAAGGCTGTTTCTAACCTCTCTTCTTTACTTTAACTGTCATTTATTGACCATTTTAAATGGCGATACCAGTGTATCGACAAATAGGTAAAAAGTGTAAGTGTTGTTTTCCTGACAGAGCTCCGATCAATCAGTGCAATTACAAACAAGGCTGTGACGAAATTCTCATTTACATATTAGTTTAATAGTTTTCTGACTCGTTGTCACTGTGTTTTATACAACCACAGCATGCTTGCTAGGCTGACATGAATTGAAAAGCAAAGTGCAGCTCTCTATATGTAAACAGACTAAATGCCACATATATTTACATTTTGTCACTTAACCAAGAAATCGTGTGTAATGACTGAAAGTTTGACAACAACCACCAATTTCACTTCTAAGTGAGACTGTTCTAATACTGTTGCCAAAAATGTGTTTCAAAAGCCCACGCCTGCTATATGCTACAATAGTCCCACTGAAGATTATTGAAATAATACAGACCAACCAGTTGTTCCATCATAAAGGCTCCAACACAACGACTTTACAATGTAACACAAAGAGCTGACTTTCAGTTTTAGGTGTTCAAACCATGTGTTTCTCTAAATGCATGATGATAAATCCCTGTAAGGTGGCTACATATAAGAAGCCGATATAGAGTAGATGGTATTATAAAGGCATTTCACATACCTGGACGGAGATGACGTACACTCCAGACGTCAGGCAGCTGAGCTGAGCTACGGCCTCGGGATCCTCAGTGATCATCACTATATTCATCATTCCTGCCAGGTGGTTGTAGTACCACACTGCAGCTGAGTACACACACCTACACACACACACACACACACACACACATTAAATGAACTCACAAGTTTAGCATAAGATACATGAAAGCAAATTGCTAAAGCAATAATCTTTAACATCTCCCACTAAGTTTTTGCTGTTTTGTAGGTGGAAGTTATCATTTCACACTACCTGTAATTCAAACGGTGCTTCCACAGAAAGAATATAAAAAATAAATAATTGAATAAACACATTTCATGAGAACACACTGCACTTCTAGTTTCATTTCTTGGCACAACATAAAAGTTTGTCAGATCATGATTAACATTACAACAAAGTCTCTGTTATTAAAAACACTCATTAAATCATTTTGGTGCTTTTCTCTATTAAACTGCTATAAATATTAATCACTTTTAAGCTGCCATTCACAAGTCCTCCTGATTTCCTGCACTTGTTTTCTACCTGAAGTGGAGGAAAAACATGTTTGAAAATGTTAAAATGACCCCTTTACCCATTGAACCCCTACTGGGACAAAACACCATGAATGCTCGATTGACATCGTAGCCAGTACGTGCGCTCCAAGTGCCACATGCATCTGCACCGCTGGCCTGTTGCACAATTTGAAAGAAAGTTAAAGTTTAATGTTTAAATTTTAAACTTAAATTAAATCTCCCAGATGAATTTTGCACACATGTGAACACATTTATGTCACTTTCACAACATATTTTTTAAACCCAGAGACGGCAACTTAACATTTTTAGAAACACAGTTTCCTTTCAAGAGTTGCTGAGCAGAAGTAGTCAGCAGGTACAGACATGTTGTGTGATTGGATGATTATCAGGATGTCCTACAAGCATCATTTGAAAAACCTTCAGTTAATCCAGTCC